TAAAAGTATCAGGAGCACATGACAATCGAGGAGCTATTCACTGAAATTTTCACTGAAAGTGAAAAATTCGAATTTATTGACAAAGTATCAGGGTAACATGACAATCAAGGAGTTATTCACTGAAATTTTCACTGAAAGTGAAAAATTCGGAATTTTTGAAAAAGTATCAGGGGAACATGACAATCGAAGAGCTATTCAAGTTTTAAACAATATTTCGATGGATTTGCCATTTACAAAAGAAAAAATTAGAATTATTTTGAAAAAAAAAATAAATGATGGCGGGATCGAACCCGGACCTTCGGCGTGCTAGCCGAGCACGTTACCACTAGGATAATGCACTATTTAAATAATAAAATTTCATTAGGAGTATATATATTGCAAAACTTTCGTTTTTAAAAATGTCAAATTGTTCAATTTCATTGCATATCTCCCCGATTATCAAATATTCAGTTTTTAAACAATATTTCAATTGATTTGTCGTTAACAAAAAAAAAATTGAAATTATTTTGAAAAAAAAAAAATTACTGATGCCGGGATTGAACCCGGGCCGCCGGCGTGCCAGTCGAGCACGTTACCGCTAGGACATCGCGCTTATTTATAAATAATAAATTCATTAGTGGTATATGTACAACATATTGAATAATTTTTTTTATTGAAATTACACAAGAAATGTTTCCCCCTTTCACACGTTCTACAGTCGGCTAAATTTCAGTTCAATAAATAAAAAACAAAGAGCATTCCTACTGCAGAAAATAAAATTCACCCCGTCGACTTGATGGACACCCCAGCATTGCGTGTTGCACCCTCCCTTTCTTGGGGTGCAATACTACGATGCTGCTGGGGTCACTGAAACCCCCAGAACTGAGCCAATACTTCAGTCAATCCTCTTTGGTCAAAATGCTGGTGGCCATTGTGGATGATTTTTCCAAAGATTATTAAAATTTTCTATTGGTTTTGATTTTCACTCGTCTTTTGTTTTTTCATCGCCATTTTTTTGTTTTTCCTCTTCCACTTCAACTCCGTCGGCAACGCAGAAATCATAATCAGAAATTCCCGCGAAAATATTTAAATTCAAATTAAAAAAAAAAGTGTAATTTATTGCAATGATTATTCTTCGATTTTTTTGATTACACAATTTTTAATTTTTCGTCTGCTATTCAGAAATTATCGTCATCGATAAACTAATCAATGAATTAAAATTGTTGATCAATCACTCCTGCTGATGTCCCCCTATTTCTCCTATTTTTTTCCCTTCTTTCCCTTTTTCTCCTTCTTCTTCTCCCCCTCGTCCTTGAAGGCGTCGATAATCTCCTGCTGTTTGACCTGGATATCGACATGCACGACGTCTGGTTGCCTCCTGTACCTATTGACGGCAGCAGGTGGTGAGAACTCGATCTCGATGTCAGAAGCCGTGGAACTCCCACTGTCGGAGTCATCCCGATCCTTGACGATCTTGAACTGGAGCGGTTTCATCGGTTCCTCCAGCTGAGGTACCTCCATGGTCTCCTGTTTAATAGGATACATGGTGACATAATAGGTACCATCCCGCCTGAGGATGTGAAGAGTTGGCGGTGGCTCCTCTTCCTCCTCGTCCAGCCTCTTGGAGGTCGTCTTCCTCATGGAGGTCTGACTCCGGTTCTTCAATCTGCTCCTGGAGTGAGCGGACCGAGACCGCGAGTCCTCCAATGCCCCCGCCCTAATCTCCTTGATGATTTCCTTCAAGGTGCGGGAAAGAGCGCCAGGGCGCCATCCAACCCTGGGCTTGAGCCTTCCTGAGGTCGGATGCTCGTTCCACAGCCACCCCATCTTAGCAGGAACCCTCTTCCTGGGGATGCTGCAGTGCTTGTGGCCGATGGTCAACCCGGGATAGCTATCACCAGCCAGATAGACGTATTTAATTCTCCTCCGAGAGTCCCTCAACTCCACACCGGTGTTAACTGGAATTACTCCCCGATTCTTCCGTCCCTTCAGCCTCTTCTGCTGGAAGCTTCTCCTGGAACCTCTTCTCTCCTTCTCCTTGGACTTCACGATCTCGTGGGAACTCGGAGTGACCGGCTTCCTCTTCCGTCGGGACCTGCAGCAGGACTCACCGCAAGGACCCATACCATCCTCTGGAGGCTCTTCAGATTTCTCGAGGTTATAGGATAAAGGGTTGGAGGAGAGCGGAGGAAGTCCTGAAAACGGGTCTCTTTTGGCGGCTGACGCCAATGTGAAGGGCTTGGTCTTGATGACCATCGAATCGTCTCCTCTCTGGTTCCTCTGGTGACCGTGACCCCTGGCACATTTTTTATTCATCTTCGGACCCTCAATAGGAACCGATTCAACCTCTTCCAACGCCAATTCTTTCATCCTAAAGTAAGGACTCTCCGACGGATCCTCCAACCCGAGTCCCGCAAGTCCCGGAGTCTTCCCCAGGGAGTCGACAAACTCCTGAGTCTCTCTCAACGTCCGCAGGAAACAATCCGCTCCAATACAGGGACCCTCCCCACATCCTCTGGGATTAGCTCGGCACCTCGTGGCATCCAGGGGATTCCTAATTTTTGAGGAGAAATTTTCAGTGCTGGTGTAATAATAATTGGGAATATAATTTGATGGGGAGCAGTTGAGGGGATTATCGAATCTCGGAATTCTCGAGTTGTCCAGGTCCTCCCACTTCCGGTATAAATCTTCGCAACCACCGCCACGAAGTCTGACCTTTTGCAATGGACAGTGGGTCCTATTGTCATCCCCACCTCTTCGACTTCCACAGGAGTCACCATTGTTCTTTACCTCTGCGGTTGACTGATTTCTCCTGCAGCAGTTGTTCTTGCAATTTCCGGGGCAGTCTCTACCGGAAGTTCTTCCGCGGAACCGAGGATCTTTGGAGCACGTGCAAATCGGCTCGTTCGGGAATGTCCGATAGATCAAACTCCTGTAGGAGCTGTCGTTCAATTTTTCAGCGGATGTTAATTTCTCGAAGTCCGGGCTCTGCATATTTATGGACAATGGCACTTCCGGTGGCTTCAGATCAAAGTACCTCGGACTGTCTTCACTCATAATTTATTATTGACAAACAGATATATTTGGACTAAAGATTTATTCACTGTTTAAAGATTTATCCATTTATGGTTTTGCCGATTTTTTTTTTGAGGTTTTATTGATCTGAAGTTGACAGCACCATCTGAATTGCCATGGTGACAGACTTGCCTGTCTTACCGACTGCTCGATTCTCATTAATTTCGATCTCTCGACGCAATGTGGCGCAGGAGGGACTTCTAGAAGAGATCGGTACATCAGAATAATCGAACTCGCGTGAAATCGTGTCGATAGATCACCGATTTCTCATGATCCAATTATTTGAGACGATTAAAAAATTCTTCTTAAAATTGTTAATTTCTTCATTTCTTCTTCTTCATCTTCTTCATCTTCTCCTGACTCTTCACCTCAATTCCTTCTTCAACAGGAGCTTCACCCTTGATCACCTCATCTCCTGGAACAATGGGTTTAACAAGAAACTCCCCCACCTCTCGATCGCTTTTGAATACAAATGCATTATCCCTCATCTGATAATGAGTTGTTACGTATTTTCCAAGACACGTCAGCTTGACCCTGAGATTAATGATCCCAGAGTGATTTTCACCTGGATCAACGAGTCCATATTCACCCCCCATGGTAAATGGCAATGCCAAGTGATCATTATCATTTCCAGCCATTGCAATTTGGTCGCACATGCATCCTGAGACTCGTAATGCTGCTTGGGCAATCGGATAAGTCTCGTTCACACAAAATACACCGATTTTAAGATCCTCCGTTTGCATTTCACGCACAAGTGACTTCGGCATTTTACCAAACAGGCACGATCTACCTGATGAGAATAACGTACTACCGTTTTTCGTCTCGTTACCTGATGGTGACAAGTGATCAAAGTCTCTTGGTGATAGAACGAAGATTGGCAGATCGAGATATTTTATTTTTACGAGTAACGGTCTTTTGTCACACTCGTACACTTTTTCATCGGTGAGGTGGAGTGATTCCAGTGTCAACTCCAGGAGGTAGAGCTGCACGTCGAGACTGTCGTAGCACGACATTTTTTAATTCGTTGACGAATCAATTTTCACGATTTTTTCGTTTATTTTTTTTTAATTATTCTCTGGGGGTTTTCGTTGGTGAAGGAAAGAGATCGTTAAATCGGTAAGAATTCTGGTAATATGGCATGACTCGAGCGAATGAGTTTCCACTTGTCTTCGAATAATTTGAATAATTTAAATAATGACATTGCGTCAGGTGTCTGAATTTTCTTTTCACTTGAGTTTTAAATTTTTACTTGAGAGGCTAGTTTATTTAGTCATCGTTCATGTGACAGCAATCAAATGACGATCGCTAATTAATTTTATTTAATTATTTTGGGACGAGTCGGTGATGAAATGCTGTAATTGTTTTAGAAAGTCCAGGATTTATGGGAGATTTCAATGCCGGTCGAGATCTCCAGGTGATAAATGCGAGAAAAATATTCTTTATATTATCTAAAAAAATTTATTACCGGTGGATATAAATTTGATAATTATTTCCGATCGCAGAAAATCGTTTCAACGGAAAGTGTTTTGCTGAAATATTTTCATCTAGTGAAAAACGATTTTTATATTTTTCCAATCGGAAATCGATAAAAATTAATCGATCCAATAAAAAAAAAATACCAAAAACTCGAAAAATATATGAATGAATACATGAGTAAATATATGAGTGAAAAATGTAGAGATTGAAATGAAAATAATATAAAAAATATATAAGCGAATAAAAAATTCAGTTCTACCGAAAACCCAGGGCAAGTCGAATCCGTCTTTTTTATTCTTTTGCTCTTTCCCACTGGTTTTCAGTGCCTCAGTCCTTCCAACACCGTCCTGAAGTATTCACTAATTGGTCCAACCACTCCACACATCCACAACAACAAATCCACATAAACAATAAACACACACACGTGAAAAAAACACACGGATTGTAGAAGCATCTCTCGAAAATCGCGGGGCGCACAATAAAATGTCATCCATGAACCGATTTTTTAGAAGAAATTTCTCCAGTGGTCTATATTTATTAATACCATGAATAAATTCTGACAATTGATATATTATTTCCACGATTATTTACTTCCCATAAACGACACATGAAATTCGAAAAAATTAATTAATTCCCAAAAATGAGAAAATATTTGATAAAAAAAAATTTCACTTTAAAAATATTCAATTTAATCTGAAATATATAAAATATTACGATATAATTAATTTATATTCAATATAAAATAACAATAAATAAATAAAATAGAATATAAAGAGAAAAAAAATGGAGTGACCCCCTCGCGGTGGGTGAGGGGGTGAGGGGGTGAGGGGGCCTCGACAGCCGAAGTTGAATTCCAACTGGCGAGCGACACGGCGGCTCGTTAAAATGCTTCTGGGGGTTTCGGACGATGGGATACTCTCCGGTTAATTGGTGATTAGCGATTAAAACCGATCCCTTCTCATTCTGTGCGACCTCGACCGTGTGGCCGAAAGGACAAAGCCGGGAACATAACGCGGTTATCCCGAGGACGGGGTTGACAGATCTCGGGGGCCCTCCCCAGGGCCTAATCAATTCTGCAATATTTTTCTAATTAAATTAGAGGAAAAATTGGGCATTATCAATGTTTTGTTGGAGATTGATTGGTTGATTAGAGTATTATGATATTTTCTGGGATAAATGTCGATTCGATTATTTTTTCTTATCAGCTGTGTGAGGAGTGATGCCGTCCTGTTCACCTTGGATTGCAAACCCACTTCTTTATTATCGGTAATGACAATTGGCGAGTACAGGCTTGAGGTAATTCAACTTCATACACCACCGGCATGTGGACAGTACTCGTTTTTTTTCAGTGATGGAGGTCGTGATGAGTTTCTGCATGCCCTACCTCATTTTTTCCCTCGTTCAGGTAAATCATAACATCGGAGTCCTAAGGATAAAATAATTTTGCACGTAAAGACGAGTTCTTGTCATCATTACTAAATAATAACAACTGCTCAGGATTTTTTTATAATTTTTCGCGTGCCTGCAGACGAGTCACTCCACCATTTTTCCAGCTAGCATTAAAATTGCGAGAATAGGACTTTCGGAATCCGATTTTTATACCACGACTGAAGGAAAAATCCTGAAATTATCTCGACCTCTGGCAGTTGAGGATGACATAAGGGTATGGAAATAATAATTGGAGAATTATTTGTTGTTTAATTTGACACATAATTAATTGTTATAAAGAGTTTATTAAATCGAGGCCGCGGGGTAATGAAAGGACGATCGATATCGATTACCGATCTTCATTCGATTTATCGTAATCAATTCTTTCTTTCAAACGAAATTTCCTTTTTTTTTTCAATCAAAATTCAATGAATTTTCGTAGGTCGAGTGGTCTCTCCAGACAGAAGCCCCGGATTACATGGAGGTGGGGACCTACGACATAATTAGGACTGAAAAAAATATATCCTTGTGCCATCCGGACTTGAAAAATGTGGAGCATCGCCAGGTGTTCCAGGTTTTCACCAAAATTCTATCCTTGGACATCACCAGAGGATGCCCCATCCACCGTGTAAACTAAAATTATTAATATTTTTAAATAATAATTTCTTAATGATATAATTATTGAAACAATCTGCAGCAGGAGATCGTTCCCTACAGGGGGAGAATTTTCATGAATTTTGAATACGTCACCGATTTTCCTGGGCCGTCGTGCGACGAAACCGATTGGCTCCTGGTGAATCTCCATTCTCCATCCTTGGGAGAAGGTATTTTAATTCTTCTGTTGACCATTAATAATCACGCCGAGCCTCTCCTATGCGTTGATTACTGAATTATTGAATTAATTATTAAATAATATTTATCTCAAAAGGATAAAAAAATTAAAAAAAACTCGAATGGTAAAATTTTTTAATTTCAAGATTAATAATTCACATTCATTGAATTTTATTTAATTGGAGTGAAAGAATTTGAAGAATTGATTTGAGTAAATATTTGATGAATGAGTTATTTATTTTTTTTTTTTTTGAAAAGTCTCGGTACAGCTTGACAAGTTGAAAATGTCAAAGTACTCGACTCCACTTGTGCTCTGACCCAAATGATTGGACTCGCACGGAGCCATTTTCTCCTGTCGTCAGTCGAGACATTATAAGAGGTCTCATAATAGCAAAGGAGGAGAAAACCTTGATCGTGCACTCTCAAACTATCCCACGACATTATTTCCAAGGAGAGTTTCAGCTTCGAAGACATGGTACTCAGGTACTTGAGCACCAATGTTAACTCATGGAGAAGGCGAATTGTGGGTAATTTGAATAAATGAATTGGAATCAGGATTGAGATTAATTTAACGAGAACGAGATAATTAGTCGAGTGGAGAGAACTATTTTTACGGAGTAAAAAGGTGAAACAGAAAAAAAAAAATCTCATTCAAAAAGGAATTAATTAATGATAAATCACTGGATAATTACGATGTTTATAAAAAATTATTTTATATTCAATTTATATATTATACTTGATTGAATGATTAATTATAATTACTCAATATCTAATGCCAGACCTGAATGGAATTGAAAACCATAAAATTGGAGATTAAATTCTTTTCTTAATCTTCATTTTGAAAATAACAAGCGCAAATTGCAGGGAAATTATTTATTTACAATAATCAACTCCACATGGAGATTGTGAGAAGGGGTTGAAGGCCAACGGAGTTAATTCGAAATGAAAGTTTCACCGATCCAGGAACGATCCAGATCCGGTGGCACGACACCAGGAAGCCACGCGAGAGACGAAAATTACGGGTATATAACAACCATTGGATATATCCGAAGGTTGTACTTGAAGATGGTAGGAAGAAAAAGAGGCACACTCGGTTGCTTGGCTTTACTGGGCCTCCGAACTGAGGTCAGAGGGTGATAGCGGTACTGGCACTGATACAGAGAGCAACTTCTCTCATCCATGACTCGTCCTTTACACGCCACCTCCTGACGCTTCCTAGTCTCTTCTATTCCAGTTACAAACCCCTACCAATATTATATTCCTCCCATTCCCATTTCAGCTTTTAATCAAATTTACACTATTATTGCTGCGAACGAGATCTACTGCGCAATCCGTCCGTCCAATTTGAATTTGGCGGTTCGAATTGATCAATGAGAAATTAATAAGGATATAATTGAATTGAAGATTTATTTTTCCGCCATTTTAGATGGAAATGGCGATTCACAAAATGACGGAAACCATCGATTTGATTGAAATTGTCAGAAGAACAACATTTAATGGGATAATAATAATAATATATGGTTAATAGCATTAAAAAAATATATGAAAAAAAAAGGATTTTTCGATTATTTTCCATTCCCACAATTGCAATAAAAAAAGTTGTTTCGAAAGTAGCGAAAACGAATAAAAATGATATCAAATGAATTTCCAAGAAAACCACATCTAACCATCAAAGCCCATTACAACATTTCTTACAGACATGTTATCCTTTAATGTTATTTTTTGGTATGTATTTGATGGGCATATGTATACCATCACTGGAATTTGAAGAAGGGAAGCGAGAATGATGATGAGGTCGATTCCAAGGTGTACGTACGGCAATTCAGAGTGGTTCTGTACTTATTAATGAGGCAGTCCAACCACGAATGAAGCGATGCAACAGGGTGAGGAAGGGGGAGGAAGGGTGAGGAAGGGGGAGGAAGGGGGAGGAATGAGGAGGAAGGAGGAGGAAAGGGGAGAAAGGGGGTTATGGGTATGAGTTTGAGTGCGTGCAAGTCCCTGAGTTCTTTTTGCATTTTTATCATCTCTCCCTTGCTCACCCCGTCCTCCGTAAAACCGCGATTTCGACAAGACATCCGCAAGAAATGTGAATTACCCAGCGGTTGGGCGGCAAGGGGGTGGGTAACCAGTGCTTCTGAGGTACGAAAAATATATCTACCTCTCCGTGTCTTCGCTCGAATTATTTTTCAATTTTCTGAGACCGGTTGTGTCCGGTCGTACCATCGAAACTCATATTTTTTTTTCGGTGAGTACAATTCATAGGGATTATTACGGTAATTAGGGGTGGTGGGTGGATTTAAAAAAATTTAATTCATAAACAATTCGTCAGAAATTAGATATTATTAATAGTGAAATCGATTTACAAACAATTTTCTCGATACTATAACCCAATTGTCCCTCATGATTCTCATAACTATCGCTATCCGAATTCGCGCGGGTTAATGAAGGCAAGTCACGATATTAAATCGAGAGCGTTAATAAAATGGCTGGGTGAATGTGGGGTAGAACTCACGGGTAAAACCGATAGATCTTCCATCGTGGCTTGTTATTACCGTGTAAACGAGGCATCTCTTGAGGAGTCGTGTACCAAAACTAGGTTCCATTGAAGTAGGTAAACTCCAAGTACCGATCACCCTCTCTTCGATTACCCATAATTCTCCCTGTTATTTGTACTCAAGTCATTTCAGCGCTCTCGATTTTCTATTCCCTCGGCATTTCCCATTCCTTAAAATATATAATAATAATAATAATAATGATAGAAAAAATAATTATAATTAAAAACATAAGTTTCAATTTTGAATTTCAATTATCATTTTTTTAGAAAAAATTGGAGTGACGAAAATTATTATATTTTTTCTTATTATTATTGTGAATGTTATTGGTAGTGATTATTGTATTAATATTCAAAGATAGGGGCGATCGGTGGATTTTTTTTTATGCAGAACGATTTATCAGTGAATTTAATAAAATTATATTAATTATTCATGTCCCCTCATCGGTGCACATTGCAGTGATATCATGTTTCCATTTTCAAGCACTCGTTATCGCGAGGATGAAACGAAAAAATTGACCCGGTTGCGTGAGCATGATCTCGAGTTGCTTTCTGAGAATTCTGGGGAAAATATAACTGATACCGATGTTCATGTAAAATAAATGAGACTTTAGTCTAATCACACCCCGAGATGATGCGACTGGTGAGGCTTGTGTTGGTTGTGGTGATCGGTTTGACAATCTGTCAAGGTGAATATTATGATCGGCAATTTTTACGATAAGTTATCTTTACCGATTTTTTCGAAATCCTTCATTTTCAAGAATTATTTTATGATCTGTTGCCCTACTGCAATTATTCAGACATGATTTTTGGATAGCTGCTGATTTACCAGGAAAAATCCTCCCGAAGACGACGGATTCTCCCAGAGTGGATGCAGCGACTGGAGAATTCCCATACATCGTGTCCCTCCGGAGAAATGGTGTTCACTTCTGCGGTGGTGCAATTATCGGAGTTAAAAAAATATTGACTGCAGCCCATTGCTTCGTTGGAAGAGTTGATCCCCCGTACACCGAAGGTTTAACAATCGCCACTGGTGCCCTGAAGAGACAAGAAGACGGCGATCTCCATTTGGCGAATAAAGTCGTACCCCACAGTGAATTCTCCAGAGGTCCTGATACCAGATGGAAGCATGATATCGCTGTTATCAGTGTAAGGATCGATCTAAAATTCAAATTGATCAACCCCTCGATGATTCGTCCGTTCATTTTAATTTTAAGCTGATGACCCCGATCATCATGACCGAAAAAGTCAAGACGGTGGGACTGCCAACGGGTCCAACTCCCGGTGGAGTTGTTGGTGTTCTCGCTGGATGGGGATCGGCAACGAAATTCGGACCGGAAGCTGATCATCTTCAGAAGAGAAATGTCACGGTTCTGACCAATGACGACTGCAACAAAAAGGACGCCAGCATTTTGGAGACTCAGATGTGTGGATTCGATGGGAGAGGCACGGGATTTTGCAATGTGAGAAAAAAATTATAAGAATAATATTAAATAATCCATGCAGAGTAAAAAATCTGGGCATTCGTGGGCTTCCCAGTCATTTTATCATTTCCTCTAAATAATTTTAATAATTATTGAATTAAAATGATAATTTCTATTGGACTCCAGGGAGACAGCGGAGGCCCATTAATCTACAACAACGAAGTCATCGGAATTGTTTCGTTCGGGATCTCCTGTGGAATAGGCTATCCCGATACTTACACTCGAGTCCACAAGTACCTGAACTTCATAAAAGAAAATTCAAATTAATAAAAAAAAGATAAATGTCAATACGAGGATTAAACCAGTTCTTCCAAAAATCTGTTATTGCAATGTCCCGATATCTGTCATTCCCCTCTCTGTCATTAAAAGAGCTCCACATGTGTTGCGTAATCGACCGAATTAATTACCCAAAAATTCGGGATTTGAGTACAAATACAAGAGAATATTACGTGACAAGTGGTTAAAGCCAGACGGTATAAAAGAGCGATATCTCGTGCGGAGTGTCTCTGTTCGTCACTCTACAATTACAATGGCTATCTTCCATCTGTTCGTCCTCGGGATTATTGCTGGTGAGTGAGAAATAAGTTATTAATCAATACAAAGTACTCATTACGATGAAATTATTGAAGGGAAGACGCCGTCTCCTGGGTAATTTCCTTGTCCATCAATGATTGATGATTATGAAGACCTGGTGCAAGGTACAAGAGCAAGAAAATGTGTTGTCATGTGTTTGCGATAATTTTTTCACGAGCAATTATCTGAATGAATAAAATGAATTGATTCGGGCTGCTATTACCTTTGATGGATTGTTCCGTTGTACTCAGGTGGAACAGCACCTGCCACTGGGATTTTGCTGGGAACTGAGGCACATCTTGGTGAATTCCCGTGGATGGTGTCGATCCAGTACGACGGTCTCCACATCTGCGGTGGTGCCATCATCAGCGATCGTCATATTCTCACCGCAGCTCACTGCTTCGTCGACAAATATCCGGTGCCCTACGTCCAGAATTTAAGCGTTATCACTGGGAGTATCAGTAAATATGTAGGTGGTGAGACTCATCGAGTGGCCAAAGTCACAGCACACGAGAACTTCCAGAGAGGAGCGGCCACTAGATGGAGAAATGATATTGCAGTGGTCGAGGTAATGCATCATTTTTGTACATGACTCTTCCTTCATTCCGACCCGTTTCACAAGTCTTCAGACTTCTATGATACATCTAGCTTGTCATCATCACAATCGATGATTAGCTTGCAGACCGTTTGACTTTCGGTAGAAGTCAGAGTAAAATCGATCTACCAACGTCGTCAATTGATCGGGCAGTTGATGCCATGCTTTCTGGATTTGGATGGATCGCTAGAGATCACAATGCTGAGCGTCCCACTATTCTTCAGAAAGCTGATGTTTCTGTTATCACTAATGACGAGTGCAATCGGAAGGACGGACGAGTCTTCAGTGATCAAATATGCGGATTGGACGGGAAAAATCGGGGATTCTGCGAGGTGAGGGTCCATCCAATGAATCGTAAAATTTCCGGTTCTAACTTAGATCACATGATTAATGTTTCAGGGGGACAGCGGCAGTCCTCTAGTCTACAATAATCGAGTGATCGGTATTGTCTCCTTCTCTCCGTTGTGCGGAATCGGATATCCGGACGTCTACACCAGAGTCCACTCCTTCCTCAATTGGATCAACACAGCCAAATCTTCGTAATTATCAATGGATTATTTAAAATATTTTGTTCAGTCACAATCGATAACACGAATGATTGACATCTCTCAAACGATATTGTTGATAACTCATTTAAACTTTGGCATGATGTACTTTATTCTCAAAAAAATGAAAAACGATTTTCCAAGAGCCTCTGCATTCACCCTAATTCACCACCAGGTGATGATCGCCATAAAATAATTGAGGGAGGGTTAAAACCCCGTGACGAAAATACTAATTCCTTTTAAATCCCCTTGACGCACTTCCCTCAAAATTCCCACCGCTGGCAAGACCCGTCCCATAACGAGGATCGTGATCGCCTGTCTGTCCATCCACTCGCGACTCTCCATGAAAAGAAGCAAGAGCCTCATAAAGACACTCCCGGCGAGTGAGTGAGAGCCCTAAAATTATTGAAGAATAAAAGACCTCGAGCGAAAAAGTTAAAAGAGAGAGAGAAAGAAAAAAAAAAAAATAACAACCGAGGTAGTGGACCACGTTGGGGTCGTGACCCGTAGCCCGAAGGCCCGAGCACGGTGAAAGGCCCAGCGGCAATTCCTGTGTTAGGGCCCGAAGGAGTCCCCCCCGAGAATCGCATCAGGCACACCCGCGCCGAAGCGAGACAGCTATCGAGAGAGAAAAGCCACGAGCGCCATTACAGGGCACTCCACAAAGTGGCAATCGCGTGGTGGCATGCGCAAGAGTGGGGATGGCAGATTATTGCGCAAGGCCCAGCGTCGGGCCCACCCTTGGGCCCTCCCTGGTGCACCTCGTGGCTGAGAATGCCCAATGGGCAAACTCTCGACGTTTGTTTCTGATCTGTGAGCGCGCGCATCCCTCAAGCATCATCCTGTATCCCGGGGCCCGTCTGGGCCACAGGTCTGGGCCCCAGTCTCTCTCTCTCTCTCTCTCTCCAGCCGGTTTTCTTTCTCTCTGCCACTGTAGTCCTCCTCCTCCCCCGTGCTCACCCTTCCGCGAGTGCATGACCGCGGGCTATTGCAATATGGACACCGCCGTCATAGGGCCCCGGCGCTACATTCTACCTAGCTGATCAAAACGATAATTGGATAGATTACCCGTAGCCCCTCTCTCTCTCTCTCTCTTTTTTTTAAATTCTTTTACTCATATCGTGATCGCCATCACGTTCTGCTCATGTACCCTTGTACAATGTTATTGTATTATATCGCGTGAAATATATCGAAGATCATCGACAACCAACAATGAACAATTCTCTTATCTTGACAGATTTTTCCACGGTTATTGGGCCCAATGGGGTATTACCGCTTCTGGTATTCACCGGGCGTCGACAATTTGTGATTATGGTGGATAATAGCGGCGATTGGCTACGCCTTTGTGGTCCCCGTGGCTGGATATTATGCATGTTTTTAAGTTATCGTTACGTCCGGGGTGCTGTGGGCCCGTCGCTAATGACAGACCGATGAGCATAACTGGACAACACGTGACAGATCCACCGGTTGCTCCATTTGTCGTCATAATTCACCAATGAAATCAGTACCCAGGGATGATTACTCGTTGGGCTGGTGCAATGCCACCTCGGGCTGTGTGTTTCGTGCGCAATGGCGAAAAGCGGAACGAGATTCAAGGAGGCGATGCCCCGGAACCGGTGGTTTGCCGGGGGTCCCTAGTGGCAAAATGAGAGGGACAGAGTGATTATTGCGAATCGGCATTTGATGGTGGAGTGAGAGAGATGAGATGATGTGGTACGCCTCGGGGAGAGATACCTCAACGAAGCCAATCGCCGATGAGGCCCCGCGGGCTCTGTGGGAAAATGATCTTGGAACGAAAGAAGGCTAGGCGCTGTTGTAAAAAGCGTAAAACTGGCGATTAACCGGCGGCTTTGCGCGCATGCCCTTGCTCCTGCTGTATTGCCTGCGCCGGCATCGCGCGAGAGTTTACCATTTCTTTTATCTCTATTTTTTTTTTTTAAGCCACCCCCCCGCCATCCCCTCGCCACTTCTTTTTCTCTCATTCTTCTATCCTTGGATTCGTGATTCAACGCTGGATATACCACTGTTTTCAACTGCCCCAGTGTGATGTCTACTTGCAACATTATAGGGGGGTATGGGGTCACGCCGGAAGCGTCGTGAATTATCAAAAGGGGGGAAGGGTTATTAATCGAAATCGAATCGGCCATTATTCGTGATGGTTCACGCCCACTATTGGTCATACTATTTCGAGTGCGGATTTTCTACTGTGAGAAAATATATTTTCAGAGATCGCGGATTTATTTGGGGGTGTGGAATGCAGTGGGGGGTGGAGTGGTGGGTGGTGATTAGGCATTTTTTATTCATATGGAACGTGAGAAAATTGAAAATATTAAAAAAAAATTTAATAGAAAGATGTCTATATTATTCCGCACTCGAAAAATATCTCTCATATTGATTTATCTTTTTATTTGAATGGATGAAATTTATTGAGAGAGGAACAATCAGTCTGAAAATGCGTAACAAATTCATCGAGTTACATTTACTCACGTGTTCCCCCGTTGAAATTTTTTCTCACCTCTTCACCGGCAATTGTTTCCCCCTTTGTCAAATTGGACACAGTAATTTATACTCAGAGGTCCATTTGCCGCCTCCAATCATGATGTATCAATTCTTTGAAATCACGGTCATGTGCAGAATTGGCGATAAATTAAAAGTGCAGGAGAAACGGATCCTTATTAGCCAGACACGAGTTCAATCGTCCATGCGTAACGTATTTACTGTTGAGCATTGCATTTGAAAATGTTGTACATGAAGTACCATGTACCTGGTACTTCAGGGCTTGAGCTTTGTACATAAGGTATGAGTAGTTTCAGTTGCTACGAGGACAACGACCCTTGTTTGCACCGTGGGGAGGCTGGATAATTCGTTCTAATTAACACCAGACGCAGGTGAGTCAAACTAGAATAAAAAAAAAAAATTAATCATTTTTTTACATTAAATTTCTACCGGCAATTTGTGAGTTTCCTGTGGCGTTATGTCGCGGATTTACTCCCCAGAAAACTGATAATGCAAATCACTCGGCTCTCCCATCGATCTCACTAATTAACCGATTTTTTTTAATTATTTACATACTCTGTTAATTGAATTTACTTAACGACAAAAACTTGGAAGAAAATCGAAGCGTTTAACCGTCACTATTTAATGAGTAATTATTTTCAAAGTGTGAGAACAAATCGATGAATCGATGGAGTGACTTATCCGTCGGAGATTAATGAATTTATATAAATTATTTATAGATCAATTGGCTCTAGGGATGAGTCTATTTAAACGGTTGTTTTTTGGTGGAGCTCTGGCATTGACACGTCGAGATAAAAAATTATTCTAGGGTATCGCAAATGGAATGGGCCCCCTCGGGGTGTGAATTTGGGGTTACAGAATTGGAGAATTGAGTTCATGGGGCCTGATGATGTGGGGGATAGGGTTGTCCAGTAGATTCTCCAGGAGCGTATGGGAATCGATACATCATGGGCCCCACGGGGGTCCTTGACTCCGATACCAATCATCGGGGGCCTCTTCAACTTTCTTCAGCAATGCCGCCTTCATTAAATTCGCGTTGGGCATTTAACATTTATTCATTTGAGATAATTACAAGGAGAGACGAGCGTTCCACAATTGCCCAGAAAAACAATTACTATTTTTTTCACTCTATCCAATTTAAATGTTGTATGGCAATTTAATTATTTCCCGCCATTTTGCGCAAGCGGATATTAGCGATTGTTAACGAATTAATTGTCCAATTGTTTTTAACAATTGAATGCTTTGAGTATTTTCAATGATGCCCCTCCATTTTCTGTTTATCCGTGATTTATTTATCGAGATGTAAAAAATTCAATGGATGGTGAAATTATTTGCATATTTTATGGTACAACCGGTCGTTCATTTAATAATCATCACGGGGATGACGATGGGCAGGCGAGTTGTTGAGTATGCAAAAAAAGCCTCTACCGTTGGTGAAACTGAACTACGTACTCTCTAACATCTCTCGTTACTCTTCCATCGGCTGACGTACCTGTGAGACGTGGGTCATTACACGACCTACCCACGTTTTATTGTTCGTTATAGGAGTAATGAAGGGAGGAAAATGCTTTTGCATTTCGGATTGCAGGCGATCAATTAGCTCGATGGGGCCATATACTCCAGGAGCCTCACCATGTGAAACATGGATGAGTAATTGATGATGCATTTTTCGTTGAGTCTGTCTCTGAATTTTTTACTTGACTTTCCACTGATAAATTATCAATTGATTGTATTTCCGGTATTGTCTAGGGTCTAGGGGCCACGATAGTCTACAATAATTAGAGGTAAAAATAAAAATTAATACTCGGTGGTTTATTTTTTGATCAATGGCAGCCAGTGAAGGAAATAAAATTTCATAAAATAAATGGTTAAAAATAATAAAAATAAAAAGATGAATGTTAGCAGGTCTCATATCAGCCGGTACACATCGTTACCCGAATTCTCGTTGCTGTTCTCTCCGAGACACGTGTATTAATTTCTCGGACGGCTCGTAAAGCTTGGCTTTACGATTCTAGTGTAGATACAAGGAAGGGAGTTGCTGTGGAGAGTGAAGAGGAGAATGAGGTAGGAGGGGGATACTTTAACCAGTGGGATATGCAGTAGGGTTTTTCATGGGGCCTATACTCCCGACTAGACAGGTACACCGCGCCTTGCGACGAGAAGGAGCACCGAGTATCTCTCGTGTTAGCAAGAGAAATACACGGGTGGATTGCAGCGGCGTCCAGAGGGAGAGGGCGACTCAACCGAAGATAAATCGTACCAGCAGGACGAGAAGTGCAAGAAGAAGAAGAGGAGGGGACCCCAAGAGGCCAAGGCTCTTTTCACCCATCGCTTGGAACTTTATTCTCGTTTCCGTGGCTCGCCTCGTTATGATAACCCCACGGGACGCCGAAAATGTCGAGCTAAAAAAATGCCAAGATGCTTTAATTAGAGGCTTAATTATTCCGAATAAAAAAGATGAGACGTCACGCTGGGGCGAGTTGTTTTGATGGACATGTGAATCACTATTTTTCAATTTTTCAATTTTTCAATTTTTCCATTTTTCAATCTCGAGGAAAAAAAAATGTATGAATTTTTCTCCCATGCCATTTGATAAGTGAATGTGAGGTCAATGTTTTTGG